TTGTACCAGAAGGCCCGTATCGTTTATCGTAATGGTACATTGCCATTTTTAAACGTACATAATACAACCGCCAAATAATGCATTTCGCATCATGTTTTCTGCTTTGGGATAAAACCGTGAAACCATCGTAAGATGCTGAACATTCCTTGACACACAGGCCCTCGCCTATTTCACTCTGAAGTACTGTACAACCTGCAGTCTGTGGATGTCGGTCCTGCAATAGGTTATTACGCACGTATCTATCGTTGAATACATCGTAATCCATTATCAACAGACAATAAATAATATGATCCGTATTCCAGGCAAAAGAATAAGAACTGTTGCAATCCAATGCAGTGCTTACGACATAAATACAATAAACTACATATTTTAAACGTCGAAGAAACGCGCGCGTCACGCGGCGCCAATCATATGTTATACAGTGCTACAAAGATATAAACCTGTTCCGATCCAAGGCCGTGCAATTAATACAATCAACTGCATAATGTTCATGTGGAAGAGAGCGCGCACGCCGCGCGGCACAGCTGTAGGTGCGACGTGGGCTGTGTCGTCCCACGCTGACCCGGTTTCGCCACCGCTCTGTCCCGAGGGTCGGGCACTGCTTGTGCGTAGATTTCCACACCTTGCCGCCTCGCCGGTGCGTGCGGGTGGGGAGGTTTCATCACGGCGCCGGCCTCGGCCAAGGCCAGCTGGAGTTGGTCCTCGCTGCCGCTGCGTGGTGTTACGAGCCTTGTGCCACCATGGCGGCGACACAGGCCGCGTTCAGCTCGATCATGCACCTCGGCAGCGCGGGTCGCACCTCACGGCGACCGTGATTTTCTCACAGTATAACGTAAGGCTGCAATGTTGAATGTTGGGAATTCAGTCATTAAACACCGACCACCATTTATAACACATGTTGTTGCTTAACTCAGTGATAAAAATTACACATCTATTAATATTGCACAAATCGATTAAAAATGAACCATCTCGCAGATCGGGTCCTTTCGCGCCGGCGTGGCCGAGAATCATGTGACTGTGACGCAACGATCAATACACAATGACCGAATACTTCCACGACCTACGCTCAATAATGGCATGCTTATCATACGAGTTAGTGATGCATTCTTCACTACCGGTGACCGATTCTGGCAACTTCCGTTTGAGCACTTCGTATACCAATTTGTGTGTTACGCTGCCTAAAAACCTTAAAGGAAAAGGGCCACCTTTAACATGGGGATTTAAACTGAGATAGCCATCTTGTAGCCCGTGTCCGAAAACCTACTTGGCCACCCCCTTACGGCCGACTTCAGTCTCCATTCGTAGTTATCGGCAATTTTAAAAGAAAATATGCCAGGAATGCGTTCTTATCCCAGGAATGCGTTCTTATCCGACAATACAGCCACCCGCGGCGAGGCTTTGGTTTTTAACCAATCAGCTTGCAGCAGTACTGATCAGGCACGGATCCCTGTACTAGCGAGCAGACCACGAGCAGTTGCGTTATTTTTCGTTGTCTGTTCTGGCAATCGGCCGGCGGATGAACATCCGCAATCGAAACTTGAAATCCGTCGCGCTGATTGGTGATGAGTTTCATGAGCTACTTTCATGAGGTCTATGAAAGTAAACCTATGCTATGCCCTGAACAGATGACATCTCGTTTGGTAGCCAATTGCTAAAATGTATTTTTATCTTACGCAAGGCAGTATACCATATTTTATACCGTGGCTCTGATCCGAAATCAGGGCATTTTTGTTCGAACTATACCTATAACGATGAAGAAGTGCGTGATCCGCGGAGCAATTAACGACCTACGTCGGGTCGGGGTTATATGGCCTTGGGGTCGGGACTGATATGCGTGTGACTGTGCACAAACTTGTGACAAGTAAGTACCTAGGTACCTAGGTAGGTACCTAAATTCTTATTTATTGCAATGGCTCTTCTATTACTTTTGTTTTCACAGAACTCTCCCCTGGATTAGCAAACCCTTTTGAACTGTTCAGGCTTTCACAACTGAAATGCCAGACTGGATAAAAAAACACAAGTTATGCCGAATATGTCATGCGAAGTGGCGTGGTTGCAGCGTTGCCCCGAAAATTTCATCGCACATCCAGCATAATTTTGCATGCGTCAAATTCAGCGCATGGTGGCAGCTGAATTTTTAGGCGCAGGGTGACCGCATGGCGCATAATGTTTATGCAAATGGCTGTCACCGAATTTTTTGACACACTGTGGTCAATCTAGCAGCAGACTTGCCCTGCGGGCGCTGGCAGGTCTGAAGAGAGTCGGAACTTCCGGCCTGGGCCTTGTTTCACCTTAAGATTCTACAATGTGCCACACAAATTGTGGTATTGGGTTTTCATGGGAACATTAACTAATTCAGACGCTCAGAAAGGGAAGAGCGTCTGACTCAGAGGCCCCGGAACGATCTGTCTGGTTGATATAGCCTTGGTCGGTAGATATGCACATGTGCTTTATGTAAAAGTGGCTTAATTTTGGTGCAAACAGGCACCCAACTTTCAGTGGAAATCATGCACTGGAATTTCAGCTCAAAATTGCTTGCTTCAAATTTTGGCGCATGAGGGGCTCACGGGCATCCGGCGTAGTGTATGGATGTTTTCCAGTCTGGCTGAAAGGCAGAACTCAGACACATTTATCCAGCCCTTCAAATCCCATTTCCTGGTTGTGGTAACACCTACCTTTCCATGGGGGTTTGGTTCATCTCTTGTCTACACAGTTTTCTTTCACTTATGTGCTGACAAGAAAAGGAAACTCACCAGAGCCCAGTTTCACCAAGTGCGGTAAACTCAATTTGGGGTAAACTACTAAACTACCCCACTACTTAACTACAAAAACTACCCCAAAATTAAGTTTACCGCACTTGGTGAAACTGGGCTCAGTGGAGCTATTCAGCTTAATACACAGAGTATGTGTTGCATGGACTAAGCATGTGTTGACCCTTTTTTACTTTTAGGTTCCCGCTAAAAAAAAAGAAGTACAGAGAAAAGTGGATGAGGGTGTGTGGCATGACCAATGAGCCAAGACCACATGACCACTTAAACTTAACAAGAAGTGCGCACCATGATAAGCACAGTCAAAAACGTTTGCGTCTAAAGAACAGTGCTGTGCCGGATCAGAATGTAAGTATTTTTTAAAAGTGATGAAAATGCCTGCTATATTGTTTAAAAAAAAGTTATCAAAAGACTTTGAATATTGTTTTTGTAACACTTCACTCTAAAGTTATTCCTAGTACCAGACATTACAGCTTTAGTGCAGAGTCTTTATTTGTGATATTTTTAGCCAAAAATTATTACTAGTACCGAGCCCTTACAGCTTTACAGCACTAGTACCTTGACCTTATTTTTTATATTTTTTAGCCATTTCAACCTAACCGAATATCTGTATGTTTGTATGTTATTGTTTTGATCTGTATTTTATGCTACCTCCCTATAGGTAAGTTTTATTAAAACATGTGGTAACGGTGTGCTGATTTTTTACAGATTCCGTATACGCCTTGGGTTGCTGTCGCTGCTCGGTCACCCACAGATGAAAGTGATCAAGAAATGGACATCACTCAGGTAAGATTCAAGCGTCCTTTATTTTACACATAATACACTAAGCAGTAGCACCCTAACCGCAACATATGGGAATGCATTGCCTGGTGGGTGCCTACTGCCTACCTGTATGCCAAGTTTCAGCTAAATCGCCCCAGTAATTACAGAGTTATTGAAATGGGAACAAATTCGGCACCTCTTCTTTTTACATTTTGCACGTGCAGTGGGGGTCACTCACATAGATCAAGAGCATCCGACCTTTGGTTGAAGGGGTGCAGCTACCCTACAAAATTCACCGCAAGACCGCCCAAGCGGCTGCTGAGATATGAGCCTCTCAAAATCACTTCTTTTGCAACTTTTGACAAATAACACCCTTGACTTTTCACGTGGCACGTGCCACGACGGTCCCTGTAATGTATCAAGAGTAGTCAATTACGGGGTAGAGGGAATAGGGCTACCCAACAAAAAAAAGACCGCAGGCCAATCGGTCCAGCGGTTGCTGAGATATAAGCCTCTCAAAAGCGTTACAGGCCGGGCCGGGTCGGGCCGCTCATACTGAGCTTTTTCCGTGATATTGAAAAGACTTCGCTTCGCTCGCTCGCTCGTAATTAACAATTCATGGTTGACTATATGGATTAAGCTAAGTGATTGCGCTCTATTAGCACACTATCTAAGTAGCCCTTAATTGCTGCCGGTGCGTTGACTATGAAAGTGAGCCGAGCTGTGACGCAAACCGTGCGCCTTTTTCAGGTGTGGGATCACTCGTGGAAGTTCACGGCGGATACGGAGCCGTGCATGCAGCTCTGGTTCGATCCTGCTCAGGGAAGCCCCAATGACGCCGTGGCGCGTATCTGGGCTGAGCGGGTGGTGGCGGGCGCTGCCGCGTGGCTGGTGGCCGCGGCCCGCTCCTGACCCGGTCGCCCTGTGCCGAGCACAGAGCGCCGACTGAGGTCAGTCTTGTGATCGAGCTTCCGCGCCGGAGGTGGAACAGCTGGAGCTGGCGGTCACCTGCGCGGGCTCGGCGGCCTGTAAGCCGTGCCGAGACGAACCGCGACACTCTTGCTAGATCTGCACCCCATTGTAATCTTCTGTAGTCGATATTCGGTAGGTACTCAATGCTCATTTTTCTGATATTAGACGAGTGGCGTGTTTTGATGTTACATTGGAGACTGCTGTCTCGGGTGGCCCGACAGTGTTCGATTGTGGTGTAATGTAGATACATAGACGGGATGCCGCGGCTCGGATTCGTAGCTGGACTACCATGTGCCTGTCGATTGAGATGCTTTGCCTGGCGATTGAGATGATTCGGGGCGCGGCCCCACACTGACGCCATGGTGCAATGAGTGACTGGCGACAACTAAGCAATTATGTACTTTTGTAGAACACATGTTTTCATGGATACTAGAGGCAGTCCTTTTTTCGCTAGCAGTCATTTGGTTCACGATACTTTCGATACCGACAAATATGTTCGGGCGGCCGGTCCGTCCACAGCTAATGCGTGCTTGCCCGCCGATGCCTAACGGAGCGCTGTGCTGTCTACGCTCACTGGTCGCTGGCCCGAGAGCCGTTCGGTTGCTGCTGTTAAAACAGTTCTCACAAAAACACGCTGGCTGGCTGCCAGTTCTTCACCAATGAGAGGCCCAGTAGCATCAGCAGGTAGCATTGTTTAATATTACTATTCCATTTTGTTTACCCATATGTCCGACCTAGAGCCGACTGGTAAAAAGCGGCAACCGAGCAGCCCTCCGCAGCGCTGCAGATCATGTACGCTCGATTATACACAATATATGTGTCTTTCTTGCACACAGAGACATGACGTTTTGTAGAGCTTTTATATCGCTTGCGGCTGAAAGGAATATTGTACATTTTAGAGCTTTCATATACGCGAGAAAATATGGTGCAAAAAACATTTATGAAGCCTGTTGAATTTTAAAGGTTGTTGGGGCATTTCACAGACTGTGTCGGTGGGCAGGGCAGCCCGGCCCCGGCCGCCGCCGCCGCCGCCTCCTTCACTGGTATGTGGCAGGGACGGAAGCTTCGTATTGATATACCGGGGTGCAACTCAAGCAGCATATCACCTATCAAACAACCTTCGGTTATGAAGTGAATGAAAACTAAATATTATGTATAACTGTGGTCTGCGCTGCGGTGTTTCCAAAGTGGAGGAAGTACGGGGAGCTGGACCCAGACTCGATGAGCCCTCTACTACGGATCTGGGTCTTCGCAGCTGATCGTCTGTGAATGAGAGATCATATGATACCAATGCATACCGAACGGATAAAAAACAGTGCCATTATATATTTGCAATTCTACAGCTTTACGTAAGCCCATCCTAGTGAATGCATTACTACGCGTTGATTTGACAACTGACATCCGGTTGAAAGCGTTTTTTTTTCGGCCAACAGCCGGCCAGCAGTTGTTGCAGGCCGGCCTCGTTGGGAAGCAGGTTCATTTTCCGACAGCCACTGCGTGCGGAAGCACTCTCTGATGGCGCGGACGGCGCGCGCCGGCTCCTGTTTCTGTAACGTGTAGAGGCGGGTGTCGAGCAGCTGGGCGCGTAGCGGGCGGTCCTCGAGCACGCGGAACACGGCCGGCTGGCGCGGGTACAGGCGCTCCCTAAACAGCAAGCCCGAGTGGTGGCAGAGTCGAGCGTCGCGGCGCGGCAGAGCGCGCGGCGCGGCCGCCGTCTGTTCCAGCTCGGCGTCGGCGCGCCCCTCGGCGAACAGCAGGTGCAGCTGACGGTCGGCCAGGCAGAAGCCGCTGATGCCAGGTGTGCTGACGTCGCCGGGCCGGCGCGGCGCGGCGCCCTCGGCCGCCGCCGGGCTGGGCGGCTCGTTGAGCTGCTGGATGAGCTGCGGCACGCCGCTGCGCTGCAGGCCGCGCTGCGAGACGACGGCTCACGGCCAGCAGGCGGCCGTAGGCGCAGCGCGCCGGCGCCGGCCGCGGCAGCAGGTCCAGCGGCACGGCCAGCGACACGGAGACGGACAGCTGCGCCGCCGACTGCAGCAGCTGCAGCGGCCCGAACGGCGGCGGACACGTGCCGCGCTCAATGTCGGCCGCCGGAGAGGCAGCCGGTCCGGCCGGCACCGCTGTCAGCGGCACCTCCACACTGAGCAGACGCACGCCGCGCGTCAGGGCAGAGACGTCCACCACCACCTGCCGCGCACACAGAGGGCCGACAGTGGTGACAGCGCGCGGCGGGTCAGACCTCACAGTGGGGATAGCGGCAGCGGGTCAGACACCCTTATAGAACAGCACGGGGCGGAGCCGACAAAAGAGGACGAGGAGACGATCATACAGCCGACTGAGGTCCGGGCACCGACTGACTCAAAGTGCTGAACATGTCAGTTGTCACACATTTCTAAATGGATTCTGTAGGACGGAATAGTGTCTCTTCCTTCCAAGGCTTACTTGCAGAATAATATGGAAAGACAATATTTTTACAAGTTGTGTTTTTATGACATAAGTTCTTTATAACATTTCAACACGCAAACATCATACCTTGACAATTGTTCACGATGAAGATCATGCAGGAACATTTCATATTAAGTCACCCTTGATTATTTTGTTGATAGTGATGCGAAAGGCAAATTACCAAAGTATATATTTGCAATTATTTGAGTTAATAATTTCAACTTTTTTGTGTTGAAAATTGACTTTTGAAACAATAAAGGCAAATGAATTATCAGTGTCTGGAAAGGTGCAATGCTGAAAGCTTCTTAATACATTCTAATTTATATCTAAAGCTTTGTGATATCCAAACTATCAGAAATAACCAAGGACGTAACCAAGGAGGGGGGAGGGGCACGGGAGCCATGCCCTCATGCCCCTTCCCCCTCGGTGATGGCGATTTTTTTTTATAAAATAAAACCAGCTGTGACACACCCCCAAAATAGTGGGCCTAATCCGAGAAAATTTTCCTTTTTTGGAGGGAGTACAACACTAGGCCACAACCTGTGACCCCCCCCCCCCTGAGCAAAATCCTGGCTACGTGCCTGGAAATAACAAAGCACATCCTATCCTTTGATGCCACTTACCAGCAGCTTTGCGCACTACCAAACAGCCACCTTTGGGCCTTTGTTGTTCTTGTTTTGGGCATTGTCAGTGGTAACTGGAAATAATCAGACATGATGGTCAGAGTAGGGAATGTGACTACAACAAAAATCATTTGATTCCTATAATATAGACATGATTTAATAGAAGACCTTCTTCTTAAGAAAGTGTGTCATGGATACCAGCTAATCTGTATGGTATTTATCTCCAGTATTATCATATAGGTATAACAATTATCACCACCCGCCAACATTGAATGTAGGTTTTAGGTTGTAGGTTGTAGGTGGTAGGTTGGGTATCGGTAAAGCTGGTGTCACCGTCAGCGCTAACCGGTAAATGTGTAGATAAAAGGAATCTTAAAAACAATCTAACCTAACCTTACCTTACCAACTGACCTACAACCTACCTACCCACAACCTACCAAACTAATATACGCTGACAGTGATGCCAGCTTTACCAATGCCGTACGTTGTAGGTTGTAGGTAAGGCTAGGTCAGGTAAGATTATGTTTCATTATATATTTACTGAGAAGACGGCTGAATGCTCTTGAGACGTGGCTATACATTTACATTTTGTAAGTAATTTTCAGGTTTCAATGAATATTTCCTAGTGGAATATTTTGAAAACCATTCTAAATGATGACCTTTAGCATTCAATAGTACTTTAAAGCTAATTAACCACATCGCCAATGCTAGGTCACATTGCATGCCTACTTCCACCAGCAGCTCCATGGGATATATCAGTAGGCGGAACTATGGTCATGAGTACCCAAATATAGGAACGTCCCCATTTTTGGGAACGGAGTTCCCAAATATGGGAACGGGCGTTCCCATTTATGAGAACGGAAGGCAATTTTTCGGCCGTTCTCCCACTAAAACTCAAAAGTGCATCACGTCTCAAAAAAGTGCACGCTGATTTAAGTATCTACTAAATCTCCATAAAGTTATCTTTAATCTGACCGTGGAACAAGGAAATTGACCGTGGAATGATATTTTTAATGATTTTTTGAAAATGACAGAATGGTGGAAATATGGGTTATACGACATTTAACATGCAATTTTAAGGAAAATGAAGCATTTTTTAGTTTGGGGTAAAGTATAATAATTTTCGCCTGGTTATGAACTTTCATACTATCGACACCAGATGCTGACAAATGCAAGCGAAAACGCGGACGGTCCCGAGGTAATATTGTTGACTTTTGTGTCGGGGCGGACGACCGCGTGGAACGTGAGTGAATTTACCGAGCTACTGTTGTAAACTCAGTTTAAGCGGTTGAAAATTATCCAGCTGCATTTTATCATCCCGGAAAGACATATTTTATTTGGATGCTAGCTGTTTAGAGTTGTTTTATAAGGAGCGTCATGAGCGTGGTTTTTGTCTTCCGTGTTTCTAAGCGTGATCGTTTTGGGGGAATTTCTCTTATATAGCTCGCTCTGTGTGGCTTATTTATAATTTTTATGCTGATTTCGATAATTCCTCGTGCCCATCCTACCAGGCCTTTTGCCACTTACACTCATCAAGAAAGGAAAAAACTAGATTTTCATTGGGACTAGGTGTTTTGAGGGTGTAACATATTCAGCGTTCCCATTTTTGGATACTTCCTTGTACTCGTCAACTATCGGTGATAAACAGACAGGTGCTTGACATGTCTCCACCCTCAGCGCGGACGGTGGATATAGGTATGGAAGACCTTGTTGAACATCGCTGAGCGTTGTGAATTACGTAATCCTGCAGAGGGGGGCGTGCCCGCTGCGAGATCGACGGGAATAAAAGCGCAGAAGACCGGGCGAAACATGCGACGGTCTTGCCGGAAAGGTCATCTGATGATTGTTGCGTTAACAATAATTTGCGGCGTTGGACGTGATGCTTGTTAATGAAAAGAGCCCCTGAAAGGCGTCGGTGAAATCGTTCCCAATTTTGGGTACGCCGTTCCCATAATAAGGGACGCTTGCAGCGCCAGTGTACGAGAGCGTTCCCAAATTTGGGCTCGCGGCCCGGATGATGGACTGCTTTAGAAATAGGGGAACGATTTGAAACTACGATGGGCCTTACAATATCAAACTCTTTCCCAACAATATTGAGACAAATATCAGGCGGTTCACGATCGTTTTATATTTTTTGGACGTCATTTAACGGTTCTTTTTCTTGTTTTAAATAATGCCTACATGGCGTTCCCATATTTGGGTTTATCGTTCCCAAACATGGGAACGAAAATGCGTTCCCGAAAATGGGTACGCTTGACCATAGTTCCGCCTACTGATATGATGGGCAGGGGTGAATGGAATATTTTTTATTAATATTCTTGAAGAAAATTATAGGCATGAAAAGAAGATGATCTGCCTTTGAGATTGATATGTGATGCCTACTTTGGAGGAACATAATCATAATAATTACACAATCATAAAAAATGCAATGTAACCAAACAGCCGCTTATGCCGCAAAATGAGAATCAAGCCAATCACTGAGGACAAACAATTTCAAACCACCAAAACTATATTCTTGCTATTCACCAATAATCCTAAAATAGCGTTCCATGGCCATTATATGCATCTTTCACCCTTACCTCCGACAGACAACTAGCGCCACGGGCAGACACACGGGGCGACAAGTTGTTTACAACCGCTACAGTCCGACGAGTCTATCCTCCTCAAGGCTGATTGGCTTGAGTGTGACGTCATTGCTATGACATCATACAGTAGCTGCGGTAGAGAGTATAAACATAGTACCAATATGTTAAATAGTTTGAAATACTTTTTAGCGAATTATGCACTTCTGGCACCGGTTTTGAAAAGAAAATGGAAAATAGTAATGTCAAAATAAAAACCAACGATATTTTCATATTTCAAGAAGGTGGCACTTTTCCTTTAAGACTTAAATAGCTTCAGTTTACATATGTACATTTGTACGCGAATTCTATTCTTTTGCCGATAGCTTCGCTTCTCTGCTCGAGCGCTTGGTCCCTTCGGTGCGCTAGCTTATTCATAAGGACTTTGTCAAATTACAAGTGAGTCCCTTCTGATACCGTCGGGACGTTGAACTAAGCTTGAATTTACTCCAACCATTACCCCAGCCGATTGGATATGGATAGCAACCATCACATGATAAACCCGCCCATACGCTGCAGTCAGCCTGTTGCTCTTTACGGCTTCCACCGCCTAAAAATGTATACGCAGATAGACTCCAATTGGATGTTCGTCAATCCGTTTCACCATATGCGACCGCTAATAAAACTCGGCGGCAAGACGATAAATACCGTCGGCGGGATGCTGCTTAGAAATGAGCCATTCTAGTTCACGCTATCCACAGACCGGGAAAAGTGTGGGACATTGGTCGTCCACTGAGCCCGGTGGATGAGCTAGCGAGATGATGCCCCACCCCGGAAGTGGGCGTGGCCAGATGGAAAGGGGGCGTGGCACCCGGCTGGTGTATAGGGTGGCGCGTCATCCCTTTTGCATTGAACAAGAACTCAGCATGACAGTCAAGTGGTATTTACCCTGGAAAATTGTGCGAAAAAGCCGAAAAAGGTGTTCGTTTAACATGTTCAAATATTTGTTTAAAAACATACCAGAGTATATTCAAAGGCTTCATCATAAAAGGCGATGCATATTCAGCAGTTTATGCAAAGTGGTAACACATTGCTGAGTAGAGAGGAGAATCAGAGTCCGTATGTAGACCAGGCCTACACGCAGCTGCACCGGGTCACCCGGTTCTATGGAGTGGCACTTTTTCACCATCAGATCCATCAAGGTACACCTTTCTGTGGTGACGTGGCGCAGTCGTTATGGAACTAAAAAACGCACTTAGCCCTTCCTTTTTACACCGGACGTGGGTGGAATATGACTGGCTTGGTCGATAATTTATGACTGATTATGTCTGACTGTATAAAATGTGCCGCGTGAATCAGGCACGGACGTTGGACGCCGCACTACTCCGGGTCGCTGTGTGTGGACGGTGGACCGGTGTGGACGTTGGGTGGACCGCTATGGACGGTGGGTGGACCGCTGTGGACGGTGGGTGGACCGCTATGGACGGTGGGTGGACCGCTGTGGACGGTGCGTGGACCGGTGTGGGCGATACACGTCTGCCCATGTGGAGACAGCCAGTACGGCGCTGCCGGTGCGTGGCGTATGCCGGCCGGCGCACCGTGTGGCCGGGGGTGGGCGACTGTCCTTGGCCGCCCCCACTGCCCCGCCCGCTGACATCACCCAGCCCGGCCTGGCGGTCCGATCTGCACGATGCCACGCACCCCCCCCCCCCCCCTCCCAGAGAGGTGGTCAGCGGAGCGCCGCCGATACCGCGACCGAAGTAGTTTGACAGGTCGCCGAAATCCGCATTCCCAGAACGGATGACCTCAGTGCTGCGCGCCGATCATTCGGTTGGCGTCCCAGACAGTCTCTGCGAGCCAAAATCGGAGTCCAGACGGTTCAGAGTGTCTTCTGCAGTGTTGAGGTTCTGCTGGGCGCAGCTGCAGTCCGTGACTGATGGCTCGATCGCCTGCATCACGCATACCGGATGCGGGGACATCCGTTCTGAAGTGCGAGCACCCGTTGAGAGATGAGAGCTGACAGGAAAACTAAAACTCATTTGAGTCCGTCTTCGTAATGACATCCTGCTATCAAAGCACCCTACTCCTTCCATAATGCATTCCCTAGTTTTACCAGTGTGTCTCTCGGCTCCCCACTTCTTATACCTCGCCTCCACCCATCCCTCTCCCTGTGACCATCCTTCACCACAGTGGGTCTGCGTCTGAACGGACCGACCGACCGCATCCATGGAAGAGAGAAAGCCCGCCTGTGCGGCGGGTGGCGCCCGCGGAGCACCAGCTCGGTGTCTGTGAGACGGTTATAGCTCGTCGGCCCCGCCCAGAAGGCCCTCGGAACGACGCCCGGCCGGCGGCTCCGTCTGCTGCGCCGGCCGCGGCCGTGCGCCGCCGTGACCTCGCTCAGTTGCGCCATCGGCACCGGCCGGGGGCGGGGCACAGGGCCGGAGGGCGTGCCGCAACTGTCAGCGTTTGCACGCCAGCCGGCACGGCGGAGTACGGCGGCGTCTCCCGTCACCCGCGCGAGCTCCCCTCCCCTCCCGCACCGGCGGCGGCGGCGGCGTCCGGCTCGCCGCACCCCGCTGAAACGGCCCTCCGCGCGAAACGGAGCACAGGCACGCCATGAAACGGCCTGCGGGCCAGGCCGCCGAAACTGGCGGCCTGGCCCGCCGCGCAGTGGGTGGAGGGAGGGAGGGAGAGAGGAGTGGAGCCGCGCAAACTTACAGATGGCCCACTTTCGGAATTCCAGCGCTGGGTGCAAGTGGCAGGCCTGGGCTGCACTCAACAGCCCAGCAAACGCGCTGCGCTGCCAGCCACCAGGCCTGGCAGCGGCTGCAGAGCGAGCGCCAGAACCCCACATCCGCACGCAGTTGTATATGACTAGTCATCAAAGAGTGATGGCCGGTTTAAGCAGACGTCACATTTCAGTCGGTCGAGTGAGGTCAACCCGCAGCGAGAGTTGACTGCTTGTTCCAGCGCCTGTCAGCAGAGAGGGCAGGCGAGACGGTATACCAGAGCGAGCGGTCAGCCTGACGCGCAGTTCCCTGCGGTGATAAGCTGGTTGAACGCGGGCCAGCGCAGCTGCGGAGCTGCGGGCCAATTCCGACAATCACTCCTGACCGAGCCACGAAGATCGGAAACAGCGTTTTTTTTTTTTAACATTCACTGAATAACTATACACAATTTGACTCCAGAAGATGCCATCTTTCACATGTTTCTGCAGCAACTCCGCTTCAGAACTGAAGCCGACGCGCTATCACTGCAGGGGCTGAGACAATGCTGAAGTGGATTGAGGGTGTATGACAAAACTGTCCTCTACACATATCTAAGCCGATTCTGCTATGAGCGTAGGGTAGGAAAACAGCACGGGCGTGACATTAGAACTTACTTGCGGCCCGCTGTCGGAGCTAAGATCTGTGCGCGGCGCTTGGCAGTTCGCCGTTGGGGCCTAGGGATGGCGTGTGTGCGTACTCGTATGTTTACGGGTGTTTTGATTTGTACTGCGCGGCTGTAGACCGTCTTCCACGGACAGCTAGTGCCGAACGACAGGCGCCGCGCCGCGCTGATGGCCGCCGCGTAGATCACAGAGGCCGCCAACCTCTGATCTCGGCGGCCCGCGCACGGTGGTGGCTGCACGGTGCAACTGACCGGCGCACGGTGACCTGTGCACAGTGGCTGGTGCACGGTGGGCTGGGCACGGTAGCGGCCGCTGCGCCGGTCGGTCGGTCTTGACAGTTTCAGGGCTTTATAGAGATAACGACTTGCAGAATGACGATATGTTTTTGCAGATCATTTTCAGTCAGGGTCACACGGCGTAAGCACTACGCCGCTGCAGTGGACCTCACAAACAGTGAAGCCCGCTGCACACTACAGTTTCACTGGTGCCGTGCTCAGGCCACTGCAGATTCAAACGTTTCCCGCCCTGCGGACCGGAAGTGCAGGCAGTGATCTCACGTTGGTGGTCCGGTGGCGGCCCGTTTGAATTTCGGAAGCGGAGGAAGTCTCTCGTCACGGTCGACTGTCAGGGGAGGGGAAGGGGTGGATGGGAATGGGGTGGGGGTAAGGGGCGGCCTATAGTGTCCGGTACAGCGGACTGCTTTTCAGAATGTGACGTCATCTTGCTGGTCTCTCACTGCGGCTACACATATATTAGCGAAACACGATCGCAAATAATAATATGATTTATATGGAGTTTGAGGATCCGTCATATTGTTCAGTCAATGTTAAGCAAATGTTTTGTGAATCTCGAGGTGATTCATTCGCAAGGAACATGCGTGACAATTGCCTACTACAATTATTTTTGTTTTTGAAAATCATTTGACCATAAAGGCCTTTTTTGCATCGCTAGGGATTACAGCAGAGATTAGGCGTGCGGGTACCTACCTACTCAACACCTTACAAATAATGTTTGTCATGTCGGTAGGAAGTTTTGATTGAGGATATCCCGCACCCTCCGTCTGGATTTTACGAATGCAATGCTGCCGATGAGGTGAAAAATTGCCACCGATTGGGATATTTATGCTGCAAATTGCATCTGGTTTACGACAATTATATTGTTCACAATCAGCAGAACCCATTAACATGAATGCATTACCAGGGCAATGGCACCGCTACTGGCCAATAAAACAAGTTCTACTTGGCATAACCTATGATTTACACCCATTCGAGCTGTCATCGTATCCATCAGAGTTCCCGTCAGGGCATAGAAGTCGTACTTTATGGGTCGTAAGGGGACGGGACCCGTGTGGCCCGCTACGGATTCTGAGCTTCAGCAACTGGTTGCAAAAGACCATAGCGTTCTTCATGTTCACTGAACAAAAAAGGAGGACTTCGCTATGACACTGACCGTTTAGTTATTCTACACTAGGTTGAATTATGTTCCCTCTCGTTCCCCCTCTCTCCCTCTTATATTACTTTTTATTTTAGTCCATAATCCATTCCTAGTCTGAAATGCTGCTCACTGCACAGACTTCTGACAGAGACCTGGCTCTTCGTACACAGGCATATTAGGCATCCCATATGGCTTCCAAATCTTGGCAAATTTCTTCATTCATACATGGCGCTACAGTTTTATCGACATTAGGATCCAGCGCACGCACGAGCGGACCCTCCCCATGCCCTGTAATTGGCTCCACCGCCCAGCCGTGCGGGCGGTGGAGCGCCCTCGCCCTCCACCGCCCTCTGTCCATCAGCTAGTGTTTACTCTCACGGTGACTCCACACACAAACACGCGTCATTCCAGCACTGTCGTCGCCGTCGGAGGCGACGACAGGCGTCCTCCCCCGTCCCCGCGTCTCAGCTTGACGGGACCAGCCTCGGGAATAACCGACTCGCGCACAGCCCATCTAAAGAGGCTCGGCTGTCTTCTTTACTTGTCTGATAAATCGGTATTACCGCTCTCTCCCTACTACATCTGACTACCCTTTCTGGCCACTTTGACCGCCCGACCCATTGCCCAAGCTCGACTGCCTAGGTCTGATCCGTCCCTGACCCTGTTTCCGCGCATGGCGCTTCCTGACGCTACCGGGTATTGGCGCTAGGTCTCTATGGAAGCGTACGCAAAATTGGCGATTCTGCTTACAAAAACCGAGTGCCAATGCCTTACAGCGCAAAAGAGCGGCGTGTCTTGAAACATGGCCCCTGCCTGAGCCATCTGCGTCCCCCCCCCCCCCCGGCGCTGCATCTGACTCGTCCGAGTGTGACCTGCGCTCTTCGCCCCCGGAGGTGCTGTCTGATCAGTCTGAACCGTCTGACCCGTCCACTTTCCGAGTCTGACCTGCGCTGTCCTCATGTGTCTGACCTGTCTGGGTCTGACCCGCTCACTGTCGGAATCTGATCCGTGCACTGTCCGCCCGCAGGCACTGTGTCTGACCTGTCTGGGTCTGACTCGTCCACTGTCCGAGTATGACCTGCGCTGTCCTCCCGCAGGCGCTGTGTCTGACCTGTCTGAATCTGATCCGTCCACTGTCCGCCCGCAGGCACTGTGTCTGACCTGTCTGGGTCTGATCCGTCCACTGTCCGCCCGCAGGCACTGTGTCTGACCTGTCTGGGTCTGATCCGTCCACTGTCTGAATCTGATCCGTCCATTGTCCGCCCGCAGGCGCTGTGTCTGACCTGTCTGAATCTGATCCGTCCACTGTCCGCCCGCAGGCACTGTGTCTGACCTGTCTGGGTCTGATCCGTCCACTGTCCGCCCGCAGGCACTGTGTCTGACCTGTCTGGGTCTGATCCGTCCACTGTCCGCCTGCAGGCACTGTGTCTGACCTGTCTGGGTCTGATCCGTCCACTGTCTGAATCTGATCCGTCCACTGTCCGCCCGCAGGCACTGTGTCTGACCTGTCTGAATCTGATCCGTCAACTGTCCGCCCGCAGGCACTGTGTCTGACCTGTCTGGGTCTGATCCGTCCACTGTCCGCCCGCAGGCACTGTGTCTGACCTGTCTGGGTCTGATCCGTCCACTGTCTGAATCTGATCCGTCCATTGTCCGCCCGCAGGCACTGTGTCTGACCTGTCTGAATCTGATCCGTCAACTGTCTGAATCTCATCCGTTCACTGTCCGCCCGCAGGCGCTGTGTCTGACCTGTCTGGGTCTGACCCGTCCACTGTCCGCCCGCAGGCACTGTGTCTGACCTGTCTGGGTCTGATCCGCAACTATGGGCTCGCATTCGGAGGCTCGTCGACGGGCGACGCGCTGAACAGACAGCTGGTAGGCATCATTGCCTGCGGTGGAATGGTGCTGGTGACGGCGCCACTCCTCATCGCTCTGGTGGCCGGAGAGATCGCCATCGAAAAGTCTTTCCTGGTTAGTGGACACCGACGCCGAGCTGTGGAACAGTGTTCGCCATGGGCCGCGGGCCAGCCCAATAGGCCATGGGGGCTGGGCTGGACTGGGCTACCCGCTGGGCTCGACCCTAAATTTGAAGGATCGATGGGCTGTGGATGGGCTGGGCTAAGAACTCTGAAGTGGAGTCAGGGGTTCGCGTCTGAGACAAAAACCATAACTATCCCGGCAGTTGCTGGGGTATTTCGCCACCCGCCGTTTGCTGCATGGGGGGGGGGGGCGTTAAAGGTAGTGTGCCACCTTTGAAAGATTTCCCATTTTATTTTTCCTAGGATAAGAAGCTTCTGTTTTTACCTAATATCGCAAAAAAAATCAAAAATGGGCCTGGAATAGTGCCTTTTTCGCCTAAAAGTTTATCGGTTTTTAGATATGTATAACAACTGTAGTGGGCTCACCTGCAAACAGGCGTCGGCAACAATCGCGAATGCGGCGCACTTGTGACAATAAGCAAAGGTCATTATAGTGTTACGACCATACGACGTACGGGAATGAGTTATCAGCTGTCTGATCGTAGACAACACAATGTCGAGCCTTAAACTGTAAGCCCGTATTGGTATTGTTTCTTTTATTTGGCTATCGAACATTATTTATGGTTTGAAATATGATTTTATGTAAAATAATTGATATGAAAAAGCCGTCTCTTAAGTTATGACCCCATTTCACCACACGCAAGTGGCAGAAATGACAATGATCAGCTGACGCATTTTTCTTGGCCGAAGTCAGAGCGCGCGGCCCGACGCACCACCACCGCACCACAAAGTATGAGCAGAAGCCGCGCCCAAAGCCAGGGCCCCGGTAACGTGAGGTAGCCGAGTCGGGGCAGCGTGCACTGACCCAAGCCGGGGCCGCAGCTTTGGGCGCGGTCTACCGCATCCCCGCGGGCAGCCCCGGGCTATCACATGACACCGGGAGGACGCGCGGCCCCGGCTTGGGTCAGTGCACGCTGCCCCGACTCGGCTACCTCACGTTACCGGGGCCCTGGCTTTGGGCGCGGTCTACCGCACCACCTAACAGGCGTGTTCGAAACCGCAGGAGATGATGATGAACGGGTTTATCGAAACTTGATTGGATGAGCATATCGGTAATAGCGATTTCAGTGTGTGCATTTATTGTTCATAGTGGTGTGAAATGTGGTTGGGGTACGACCGACAACCCGTCGGGGCGAATTTCGCACTGGGGTACTCAAAATTTGAAGAATTTAAGATGTTTCCATGAGTTTTGAAGGTATGGATAAGTTCTAAAAATCCGGTTCTCCTTATCTGGGCCATTAACTCCATACGGTCCAGGAAAGCTGGCACACTACCTTTAAACGCCCCCAAGCGATAACTCGAGAACAAATAGGCGCAGCGAAATGCACAAGACGGCAAACGAAAGAACGCGACGAGACGCTTCAGGTAAGTACTTTAAAGTTGAATTTTGAGGTCACAGGTCGGGTCAAGGTCAGGTCAAACACCTAAAATCAAGCTTTCAGTAGCATGGACTTCAGAACCTCGCAATGGGCGTCTCTCGTCATAAACTCTGTCAAAACGGTGCACAAGCCTTCATATACGGCCTACAAGAGTGTCAGATCCATGTAGGGGTCAGTCAAGCATATGTAGGTCAGGGTCAAGGTCAGGTCAACCAGGTAGGCACATATCCCCGAAAATCAAAACTGATATTCGCAGCCTGTGACACATGTTTTATGGATAATTTTGGGCGTAGAATAGAACACGATGGTGACAGTCATTTTATCATATGTGTACGTGTTTGGTTCAAAAAGTTCAATTTAAGAAATGCATGTATCATATGGTCGTGATTCGTGAAGTAGTGACGAGAAATTGCCAAAATTCAGTTCCAGATTTTGGAAAATGCGGAACGATAATCAAAAATCGAAGATAGCCATTTGATTGTTCATGGTATTGGCAGTCTAATGGCGTTTACGGCATTATACTTTCTTCTGTATCTTTCTTCTGTGATTTTATATGATTTTTTTTTTGAACATATGCCGTTTTTGTTCCAAAACTGAGAAATCATGACGTCACTAAAACCTCGATATCTCAAAAAAATCGGACCGATCTTTTTAAAACTTTGTCACAATAAACTTCAATCAATTCCCTACAGGTAGGGGAAGGTGGGGTAAGACGGACCAGCTAAGGTTTGAGACCGCATATCTTGCTACACTGCTCTCGTAATTCATATTATTTATAGTCTTCGGAATGCTCAATCCTTCCTCTGTTGATATGTGTAAAGACTAAATTTCAAATTAAAGACATCTAGGTGGTGGATGCTCTTAAAGAGGGACATGTCAAAAACTCAGACAAGAAAAAACGTGGGGTAAGACGGACCACCCAGCAGTGCCTGCTATCCGTTCATGTGTGTTACACTTCTGCTCTGTACTCTTGTAAGAAAAAGTAACCAAAATGGTAAAATAACAAAATGAGCCTTTATTCTTTACTCATGTGTGATGGAAGTGCAGCTAAAAGCTGAGAACATGTGTGTTGATTGTCGTTTGGCATGAATGCATGCTAACTGAGCACTTGCATATGCATGGCTCACATGCAACAAAGACTCCTTCCTGAAAAATTAGCTTACTTAAGCTTGTGTCAATGTTTTGGAAAAGAACTTTCCATATGCAGGGTACAATGGACCACCACAGGGTAAGATGGACCACAGTGGTCCGTCTTGCCCCAAATCTAAATTCTGTCATTATCATGACGTATATGTCAAATAGCCCAACATTGCAAAACCTTGCCTTTCCTAAAGTGTGACTATAACTAAGTTTATAACTTTGTTCTTCACAGTTAAGTGCAAAATAGAAACTAATCATGCAAGAAAGGCGCCGTAATTGAATCACCCGTAGACCTCTTATATTAGATCGGTTTGACGAAAAACAACATTTTTCTCAATAACTCAAAAGCTATGCATCCTAGCAGCATGAGCTCAAGGTGGCCATTGTTACGAAGGAAAACAAACATAGTGAGTGCATAAAGCAGTAGATACCAGCAGCGGTTCAGCCGGGAGGGCTGGTGGTCCGTCTTGCCCCGCTGGGCCGTCTTACCCCACCTTCCCCTACCTATAAATTTTGGCGCGCCTGCGGCTTTATACTAAAGCGCGGCGAAAAAAGTGAGGGCGTTTAACGCCCCCCCCCCCCCCCTAGCAACTCGCGGGCTAATAGATTCTTACTGTGCAAGACTCAAAAACGAGTTAATAAAGCACGCAAGCAACGTGCATTGTGTATGCTGCTAACAAAATATTGCTTCTTTGCTACCTTTGGATACCTGTGAGGTGTCAATGATTTTTAATCAATTCATTTTTGATGGGCTGGGCTTTGACGCTTTTACCATGAATGGGTTCGAGCTGGGCCGGACTGTGAACCCATGGACCTTGGCTGGGCTGGACTGGGATTTTGCAACCCGTGGCGAACACTGCGACTGCTGTGGAGGGGGATGGGGAGTATGTGTGTGTGTCTGGGGGGTGGGGTGGCGGCGATATGTTTTTCTGCCGATTGGTAAAACAAATGTAATGAAGAATTGTGGATACCTATCTCAATCTGAGTAACCTACCTTGCATACAATATTTTCTAGATTTTAGTTTATCAAAGGCGAGAATCTCCTTATGGTGGAGAAGTCTTTCATCATTTTCACCGTAGTACCTATCTTTATGCTTCTTCTTTCTCTGTCTTTAAATAGCGCCCCTTAATTAACTTTCAGCAAAAATATATTCTTCTGGTTTCTGGAGTCTGAACAATATAAGTCACGTCATATGTCCGTCTTGCAGGAGACGCTCTACAACGTCGTCGGGTTCATCATGATGATCACTGCTGGCATCATGGCGGTCGAGTTCTACAGCAACTTCGGCAGCTCCGAGACCCGTGACGCAGGCCTGGCTATGGGCTCACTTGCCATCATCAATGCCATCATCTATCTAGTCGACGCGTTCGTGGCTTTCCGCATCAAGCGCACTTTGTAGGCTGCCCTGCCTGCGACCACTGCGTCACCTATGTTGCGATCTGAGCGCCACCGTCCGTCCTCGGCGCGCGGCGTGCAGAGCTCCGCTCGCGTGCCGTCGCCAGCCGTCATACGACCAACGTCACGAGCAGAGCAGAGGCGCCGCGTGGCCCGGGTCCGCCGCAGCTGCCACTGGCGGCCCGCCTCCCGCCCCCGGGCTACTGAACTGCCACCCCAGCGGTCATGGAGCGGGACTGCCGCCGACGCAGCTCTACTGCCTTCTTTGTACATACATGTTTCCATCTTTGGACGTGGCCTCTCAACGGTCCGGAGCGCCGGCCAGACGTGCTGAATACCAATACTTTACACAGCTTTCTCCTTAGCCTCACACTTTGTTTTGCCGTGGTCTGTAAGCTGTATTTTCGGTATCTCAAACTACAGACACTGACATTTTTCCATTGAGACGAATGAGGCAGCGAGTTCATGCACCCTTACCGAATTTTAAGCGAGGAAATTAAAACATCTGAAGGGAAACCCAGTCCAGAGTGCATTTAAATCGCCAAGCTGCGAAGATGATTCGAATGTACAAATGACTAACGGTCAAAATGGAAGTGTGTTTGTAAATTACCAGTAGTTATTTCGCAAGACCTACGGGGTATTAGCTAGTTGTCGGTGCTAGTTTTGCCATGATGCTGCCCGTACCGACTATGTTGGTACAAGCGTCCTTATACTAGTTTACTTTTTATCAAGCGTGCCTGGGCTAGAAACCGGCATTAAAAGACAAAACAAATGTCAAACATCAAAATCTTATTTTCGGCATGGCAAGATTGTCTAACGAGCCTCCTTGTGGAATTTACGTTCAAAACACTGTTTGCATCGTTTGCGATCTACGTAGGAGCGTGCAACTGGAAACCTCTGTTGCCACCGCAACGCTGGCCAGAGGTGACGCCTCGTGCGAACCTTTTGGCGTTACTCACTCGCTTTTGTGCTTTTGCATGGTTCTGTGAACGCAGTGTTGTGTTAATAAACGGATAAAACATCGAGATTATTATATCGTTGCATAACGAAATATAGAACATACACCTCTACAGATAATGAGCCCTGCTCAGCATCTATTCTGAGCATAATTCCCAGTACAGTGAGTAACGACTACGAGGGGCGTTCAAAAAGTTCTCGGCCCGACCATGAAGGAGCAGAGATACGACGTCGACTTATTAGACCAAAAATGTTCATCTATTCAAATAACCAGCGTTAAGACAAAAACAATTCGTGCAGCGCTTCGCGAGAGGCCCCTGGGTCTCCATAGCCAAGTGGGTTTCGGACGCATCTGGCACGTCCAAGACGGCTGCTTTTGTCTCCTTGCTGTCAGCGAAGTTGCCACTGCTAAGCAATTTCCTTATGTTGGGGAAGAGGTGACAGCCTGAGGGTGCAAGGTACGGAGAAAAAAGTGGCTGTGACAACAAGTCGAAGCTACAGCTCACTGCTTCGCTGATCGTCACCCTGCTCATGTGTGCTGGTGCGTCGTCCTGGATCAGGCGCACACTTTTAGTCAGCTTCCCTAGTCTCTCCTTGATATCTGCTGCTCGCTACTGTTATCAAAGGGAGGTGTAGTATTCATCATTAATTGTGCGCCCCTGTTTTAGAAAGTTGACGTGCAGAGCCCCGCCAGCATCCCAAAATGCAACCACTGTCACCTTGCCGGCTGACTTAAACAAGTCGCCCACATTTGGTGGCCTTTACTCAGTGTGCTTCCACTTGTGCAACTCGGTCACGCCCTTAGGGTCAACGTGTGACACCCACAATCCCTTCACGGTAACAAGTAGGTCAATCAACTCTTTTGGATCGTCGATACAGGGGCCAAAATTTTCGCGTTACGCCTCCTTTCGAGTTTGCCTTTCCTCTAGAGTCAGCAAACGGGGGATGCATCTTGCAGAGATCTTAAACATATTAATACGCTGTCGAAGAATGGGTTTGAGGAGCCTGATAGACACCTCCGCTTCTGCTGCGTTGTTCCAGACCAGAACATTTGTCATTTTTCACAAAGAAGTGCTTATTTTTCATATTTTCTTGAGTTAATGCTGTTGATGGCTGGCCACTGCGGGGTGACCATTAATGATCTGTTGACCAAAATTGAACAGAGATGTCCACTTTTTGACGCTACTGTTAGAAAGACAAACCCCAACATGTGTTGGCACTAGCTTTTCGTGAATAACGTTTGGTGCATTTTTCTGCAATACATGAACCAAATCACTGTTCTCTTCCGGGCGTCGCCCATTCTGACCGGGAATGGCAAACTAACGATTATGTTACGATTAATTAGCAGCCTAAACCAATCACAGGGTAGATTGGTTAAAGGGACCCTCCCACCTTCAAAAAAGTCAATGAATTGGCACGAAAGTGATGTCGCTCGGTTCAGAAAGAGCAAAAACGAATATATACCAAATTTCATCGAAAAATATTCACCGGTTTTCAAGATATTAGACTTTTACTTTTGTTTACTTTTTGGGATCTCCGCTGTTCCTAGCGACTTTATTTGAAAGTGCGGCATTTGTTGCGCGCAAAGCAGCATATACCACCGGGTGCTACCAAACGTTTTAGTAAAAGATTTAAAAATCGTTAGATCTCCGCTGACGTCACAAATTCTAAGGGGGCATACCAATGCACTAGCCCCTTAGAATCCGAAAACTGCAAGTTTGAAATTCCATATCTCCGAATTAAAGCATTTGTCGATGTTGTGAGTGCCCAAACCGGTATTTGCAGGCCATGGCCACCAATTTGGCTATCTCAACTCAAAACTAATGTTAAGGTGGGAGTGTCCCTTTAATGGCTACGTAAGTCGACATCCCAATAACACATCATTAAACACACCGCGTTGCAGGCCGAAATTCAACTCCTTCATGGTTGGGCCGGGAACTTTTTGAACGCCCCTCGTACTATAGGTAGGTTTGGAGTTTAGGTTCAAGATAATCGCACACTCAAACCAAACTTGAAAGGTAGCGATGTCAGTGAGCATGAACCGACGGTCTCAATATAAGGTGTATGAAGCAAGGCATACCTACGAGCATCTACATAAGACTTGCAGTAGGATAAGCACAATTTCTACGCCTCAGTCGCTGTCGTTGCACACTTTCGACATTGGTGCGCTGCAGGGCTTAACTTTTCTGAACTTGTCTTTCTCCTCACCGTTTTTCACGAATTGCAGACGTGTGTGACTTTGTAACATTATCAGCACCGTCATAGACTACTGTATTATTACTTATCCATCTCTATGGCACACAAACCCTAATTCTCCACTGCACGCCTGGGCTGAATACTCAGAACAGTCCATCGGGGCGCACGCTAAGTCATTAGGGGTATGTGGGAAGGAATGCGCATCTGTAAAAAATATGCATATTTTAACAATGTGATTTTTGTTGATTCAAGTCGAACTGACCTAAAGTTTATAGAATAGGTATGTACCTAATATAATCGTGCATTTTAGGTTTATTCATGGTCCAACGCATGTTCAAATGCAGAGGAATGGGTATAGGTACCGAGTACCGGCGTCGTTACTCGTTACACTATGTAAGCAATAGGCATGTACTTCATAGAAAATATAATTCCAAGCTGTCACAAACATTTTTGCATAATAACGCGCCTGAACTCAACGGTCTAGACAACATCTCTGCTACTGGGTTGTAATTTGGCTGTTGGAAGTGGCACTTTCAGCACTTAACCCTCGCCCGCACATGCCATTTTCCCATCCTAGAACGCACATGGGGGGGGGGTTGCCACCCCCCGCGCCATTTCGTTCCTGTTGGAGATAGAGCTTAGCGGTAAGACCAAAAAGATTCTTTGGGAAGAGACGAATCCAATGATACCCAGTTTTACCTTCTCAGGTCAGTCATTGACGGTTGACCTTCCAGGTCAGGTCAAACTAAAAAATGTTGCTGTTTTGGGTCACCGTTTGATATCAAGTGCGCTGCTTATCATATACCGATGCCGATGCCGTTTTCTGGTGCCAAGCCAGCTAGAACCTCTTTCTCACACTACCCGACCAGGTTTTTGCTGCTGAGGTCATTTCAGGTCAAGTTAGGTCAAGGTCAATTATATGTGTTTGTATGTCTGTGTGTGTCTGTGTGTATACTGATGTGTGCACCGATTGTTTATGTGTCCATATTACATGAAATCATGATCTGAGAAGCTTTTACCAAAAATGCAGTCAAAAAACTTCACAAAAAGTAAATTCCACTTGCCTAAAATGTAATTATCTTAGATGACCTAGGTTGACCTTGACCTTGACCTTGACATCTGTACATCGTCGAACAACATGTTCCATGATAGGTGGGAGGTAAGACTGGTAAAAAAGGCCGAAATCAAGGTGTCAAAAGCTCACAAGGCCCATAGGGGCATTCCACGTCAAATCGAGCAAAAATCGGCTGTTTTGCACCTTACCATCAGCGATTTCATTATAAATTTGTGAGCGAGTTCCTGTGTCGCCCCGGACATTACATTGATGTTTTTTGCACATTCTGACCACAGGTCTTCTAAATATAGGGCATCAAATTTTTACAAAATGTTGCATCTTTATATTTTTGAACGACCATAACTTTGGTTGTACTTGTTTGATTTGAATGAAATAAACCTTACTGTTTAGGTAATTTCTTAAGCATTTGTTTAGAATTGCATCGACTTAAATATATGACCTTGAAATTTGCTTAACTCTGTTCTTAAGCACAAAAATTGAAATAGCAAAAAATACGCCACCTTCGATTTGGCTCATTTTCATATATTTTATTGCCTACCATATTCTTAACAACCTGTGAAAAAATTAGAGTGGGCCATTCATAAGTTTTGAAGAAAATGGCACATATGCAAACGTATGTTAGCACGCGCAGTGGAGGGGGAAGAGTGAATTTCGCCCCACCCCTCCTGTTTTTCGCCAATATCTCATAATATTGATGCGAAATTACTTATGGCTACCTGTCCAGAATTAAATTGCACATCACATCGTGCAAGCAATAAGAAAATCGGTTCACAACTGTTCTAGTAATAGCGGTGTAAAGTGAACATCCTGTCGCCGCGGCGACGCGGCGACTCGGCAGCCGGCGCCGACCGCTACGCGCCGCCTGAATTGTAGACTGTGCCGGGACGGAACGGAACGGTTCCGTCTTTACATCGCGCTCCTTACCGCTGATTATGTTCGATTCGCGTCAAATTTTGTGAGAAGACTAAGAAATGTACAGGCAATCTTATGGTGAAAGAATTCTGAAAATAGGTTGGTAAACAATTGAAATATGAACGTGTAAACACAAAATTGTGACTGCTGCGTTTCCCGCGTCGGCCGATCCCGCCTCAGCCGGCGACATGTTACTCTTAGCAGGACTCTAACTGCCATATTTATTATCGGATTAACTAGAAATTCCCCATACATACTCAAAAATGTATGTTCTTTCGTATAGTGAAGATCAAAAGACGTGAAGATATCGTTGCGTGATAATGTTTTCGTTGAATTTATTTCATGATGCATTTCCACACGGCTCAAAATTCACCGCAAAATACCGTTTGCCTGAGACACTTTTACAATGGAACGTGAATGCTTGACTACGATGACTATGCATTTCCATTCTCGCAGAGTTTGGGATATCACTAATCAGCAATCATTCATTTCAGAAAGTGTACACAAGCAAGCATGTCTTGACTCTGTCTTTCAAGGTCACGCGCGGTTGCGTGATGTTGATGCATGAAAACGGCGTTTGCCGCGAAAGTTATGAATGGCCCACTCCAATTTTTTCACAGATGGTTAGGAACATTGTGACGGACATAATATGTAAAAATTACTCAAATCGTAGGTGGCGTGTTTTTTGCTATTTAAATTTTTCTGTTTTAATTCAAGGTCAAATGCATTTCAAGGTCACTTCAATTTAATTTTATAATTAAAAATCAAAGCCTTATCAATTGCCTACAAGACCCTGTTAATATCATTTTGATCCCAGAAAAGGAACCAGAGTTATAAGCATTTAAAAAAATGATGTGTGGCATTTTTGGCTATATTCCATGACCT